CCGCCCTTCTGCTGATCGGCGTCCTCATAATTATTGGCGCTCTCCTACCTATTGAGCCCTCATGTGAAATTTTGAAGGCCGCCTTTCTCCCTTTTGGCACCCTCTTGTTCAGTGCCGCCCTCCTACCTATTGGTTCCCTAGTCCTTCCTGTTGAATGTTAATCGGGGCCCTTCTCCTATTGGCGCCCTCGTGTAGATCGCCGCCCTCCTAACCACTGGCACCCTACTGTTGATCACCGCCCTCCTATCCACTGGCACCTTCCTGTTGACCAGCGCCCTCCGCACAGACGCCCTCCTGTTCGTGTCATCCTCTTGAGCAAAGGCGCCCTCCTCACCATTGCCACCCCCATTTTAATCGTCACCCTTCCGCTCATTGGCGACTTCCAGTTGATGACCGCCCTCCCACCTATTGGCGACCTCTTGTTGATCGCCACCCTCCTATTGGTGCTCTCCTGTTCCTCGCCACCCTCTTACCTGGTGGCGCCCTCCTGTTGATTGTTGATCGGCGCCCTCCTACCTATTGGTGCCCTCCTGTTGATCGCTGCCCTTCTATCCATTGGCGCCCTCCTGCTGCTCGCCAACTTCCTACCTATCGGTGCCCTACTGTCGAAACTCGGGATGTTGATCGGGGCTCTTCTACCTATTAGTGCCCTCCTGTGGATCGCAGCCCTTCTACCTATTGGCAACATCCGTTGATCGCTGCCCTCCTATCATTTATTTACTCCTTTGGCATGTTTTTCAACTTAGTCGTTCTATTGCACATAGTTGATGTCTTGCCTGTGAAAACTGCCACAAATGAACGTGCATTCATTCAAACACGTCTTTGGTCTTAACGGATTGATCCTACTTTACGTGCATCATGGCATCTATATGGATTACGATTAAGTATTGTCAACAGGTTCGGGCGCAACAGCAGGCATCTGAAGTTTCGGTGATTGAAACTGGTTATGTGGGTACACTGTATGCATCTGTGAGAAGGCTTTGAAGGCTGGTCTGAGGTAATTTGGATGATGTTTACGCATCTCGCGCTCCGGTATCAATCCGATACGGTGATCTGGTGCGTAGATATGCCACCGCCAATAAACTTTTATACATCGACACCCATGAGCCAAGCTTTCTGTACAGTTTGTGTGGCAGCGGCCCGACCAAACCTTAGGTATTTTTTACACCTTCAAATTTGGTAAAAGAGCGAGAGGAGCTTTGAACAGTGATCGTATAAAAGGCGTGCCTAAAAAGCGGAGGAAAAGGTTGTTTTCAAAAATTTCGCGCGCCTTCGGCGCAGCATTTCAAGAACACTTGACCTTTTGTGACCTGGAGTATACAGAATACACACGATGCAAAATCAATGCAGCACGACCTATACGAGGTTACGCAAAAAAAAAACTGGTGGCATGGTAAAAAACGCCTCCCAACCCCCCAACCCCCACTGAGCGATTTTTTATCTCGCGACCGTATGGCGCCCTCCTTGGGTGAGGTGGCGCCCTCCAAACCCTTGGCCCCCCCCTTCGCGATTTTCTAAATACGCCGCTGCTTAGACCCATTTTTGGACGAAATCGATGGCCCCTGGAGTTTGTCAATCTGTAGATGGACGAACTCAAAAACGGTAAATTTGGGTGATCGGTTGAGAATAGCGGATTCCTGACACCAGATTCGTGCTCAGCGTGTCAGACTTGGTCCCCTAGACCCATTTTTGGGCCAAATCGATGGCCCCTGGAGTTTGTCAATCTGTAGATGGACGAACTCAAAAACGGTAAATTTGGGTGATCGGTTGAGAATAGCGGATTTCTGACACCAGATTCGTGCTCAGCGTGTCACACTTGGTCCCTTAGACCCATTTTTGGGCGAAATCGATGGCCCCTGGAGTTTGTCAATCTGTAGATGGACGAACTCAAAAAACGGTAAATTTGGGTGATCGGTTGAGAATAGCGGATTTCTGACACCAGATTCGTGCTCAGCGTGTCACACTTGGTCCCCTAGACCCATTTTTGGGCCAAATCGATGGCCCCTGGAGTTTGTCAATCTGTAGATGGACGAACCCAAAAACGATAAATTTGGGTGATCGGTTGAGAATAGCGGATTTCTGACACCAGATTCGTGCTCAGCGTGTCAGACTTGGTCCCCTAGACCCATTTTTGGGCCAAATCGATGGCCCCTGGAGTTTGTCAATCTGTAGATGGACGAACTCAACAACGGTAAATTTGGGTGATCGGTTGAGAATAGCGGATTTCTGACACCAGATTCGTGCTCAACGTGTCAGACTTGGTCCCTGGGGCAAGTTTGGGCGAAATCGACGCAACCTGAATATCAAACTGTAGTTGGATAATCAAAGTGCTGCTAAATTGACAGCAGTACTTTGCTTACACTGCACAAGACACACATCCACAGCACAGTACAGCAACTGAAGCGAGCTGTTCACTGTTACAATTATCTTTCAAATTCAACTGACACCGATAGCTGGTTACCACGCAACGCGCTAGCAAATGGCGTCAGCTTGTCCCACGAATGGCGGTTGCTATGGAAACCAGCTGACGAAACTTTACCAGAACCCATTTTCGAACAGGAGTTTTGTTTTAACTGATAGGCGCCGAGTTCAGTGTAGGCGCCCCAAGAATTTGTGCGCCGTTTTTCGGAACATGCCCGCCACTTTCGCAGTTTTTCATCCTACATTTTACCTACACGGTGTCTCATGAGACACAATGTTAATCCAATGGGAACTGTCTCGTGGGTGTCTCATGGAGGAGATTTGTAGGAACTGTTTTTGAAGACACGTAAAGAAATGTAATGACCAAATGCCGTTGACAGCTGATTGTACCGACCAATTGCTACCAGTTAGCTGTTTTTATAGTCATTTTTGTACAGAAAACACAAACTGAAATCTGTCTCGCGGCTACCCTCTTCGGCTCTTTCCTGTCTCCTACATTGTAGGCAAGTAGGAAGATTTGTGCACCTCTGAGCAGATACTCGCTAATATTAGATCCAGCCAAGTCCAAACGCATTCCAGGGGATGTGTTCCTGATGGGTCAACAATATTTATCGTTCGAGGGCGGATACAGTTTTAACAATACAAAAAATATTTTTGCACAACTCTATTCCTTGAATAATTCTCTTCAACGCCTCATTCCTAGTTAAGCGAATTAGCCCACCCTGGTTGAATAAATAAGGCGATTTCGCCACAAGGTCGCGGAAAACCGACCGAAAACGGCCGCGCTCAGCGTTAATTTGGGCATGCAGACTCTTAAATACTCGCATTGGGCGGGTAGGGTTTCCCAGGTATTGGCTCCAAAACACCGTATTCGGCTCCCGAATACGTCCAAGTGACCCGCCTCGTTCCTAGTTAAGCTCTAATTAGATCAAGTGACTCATAAGGAGCGAAAAAGCGACAAAAAGCATGAATTTCCCTATGGCGGCGGGCTGCCGAGTTGCCAGACGGCGCACCGGCTATTTCCACTTTTGACACACCATGACGTGTGAAGTCTCGGCTATTTTTCGACGGTAAATATAGTTGGACGGTAATATAATAACTAATAATTCGAGATTATTAAGTTTGCTTAACCCTCGCCCGCACATGGGGGGGGGGGGTGGTTGCCACCCCCCCTCCAGGTAGTCTTTCTGCTCTGCACTCAACATTTTTAGAGCTAGAAGGCTTATTTTTCGTATAGCTGCTCCTCTATCCTTTCTTGATGGCCACTGAAAATTTCAAGTTTCTGTGATTTTTGGTTTCGGAGATATGACCTTGTTTTTTAGGTCATGTCATGACCCAAATGGCCAATTCTCAACATCCTGCGCTGGCTATGGGCTTTGTGAGCTTTTGACGCCTTGACTTCAGCTTTTTTTGCCAGTCTTACCTCCCAACTATCATGGAACATGTTGTTCGACGATGTACAGATGTCAAGGTCAAGGTCAAGGTCAACCTAGGTCATCTAAGATAATTGCGTTTTAGGTAAGCGGAAATTACTTTTTGTGAAGTTTTTTGACTGCATTTTTGGTAAAAGCTTCTCAGATCATGATTTCATGTAATATGGACACAAAAACAATCGGTGCACACATAAGTATACACACAGACACACACAGACATACAAACCCATACATATAATTGACCTTGACCTAACTTGACCTGACATGACTTCAGCAGCAAAAATCTGGTCGGGTAGTGTGACAAAGAGGTTCTAGCTGGCTTGGCACCAGAAAACAGCATCGTCATCGATATATGGTAAGCAGCGCACTTGATATCCAACGGTGACCCAAAATAGCAACATTTTTTAGTTTGACCTGACCTGGAAGGTCAATGACTGACCTGAGAAGGTAAAACTGGGTATCATTGGATTCGTCTCTTCCCAAAGAATCTTTTTGGTCTTTACCGGTGAGTCCGGTGAAAGCCATCAATGGACTCAGGAAGACCTGCCGAATCGAATGATATGCGACATGGCCTACTTCGACCAATTTCGTGACCTGGGGGCGCTCCCCTGACCGTGACCTGAGGTCAACACTCTAAGTTGACCTCACCCAAACAAAAAGTATATCATTCGACATGCCTGAGGGAGCTGAACACGATGATGCCAAAATCGCAGTCCTACGGCCGTTTTTGCAAAGTTATTCAACAAAAACTGAACCGTACCTTGGGGCACTTGACCTGACCTCAGAGATCACCAGTTGACCTAGGACCTTAAAACCGGGTGCCAATCTCTGCGTCTTGTAACGGCGCACACCCTCGTTTTCCCGTGACACGCTAGCTCCACCAGGGGCGAAACGGCGAGGGGGTCGCACCGCCCCCCCCCCCCCTCGCCTCGGCGGGTGCGCATGTAGAAAACCAATAGGTCCGGCGAGGTTTAAGTTGATGACGTAAGCGGCTCGTGAGTTATTCCAGAAAAAAACGGGGGGTCTGATCCCCCCAGGTGGTCGCGGGTTATTAATCATTAATTTTGTATAGTGTGGCGTCTGGATGTCCTAACCAGTGCTTTTAATAAATGATCAAGGTGATTCTTACGCATGTCGCATTTTCAGAAACGCTGTGAGGTGTTCAAACGCACTGAGAAGGGAAAAAATCTGGCAACCCTGACGGCAGTCGAGGTCAACAACCTAGGTAAATGGTGGTGATTTTTTTCTGTTGTTTCTTTTTCAGATCAGGGAACTCATTTAACAGCCTAAACACTAAAATATGGCGATCAATATTATTATCGTAAAACAAATTAAACTTCATCTATTTTGCAACACATTTTGTGCTCTGTGGTATCACTGAGGCCGTTACAATCATTGCTCTGCTTTAGTTACGCTGGAGTTTGCGAAGCATCTACCGCGAAACAGCGAATGTTGGCTCTTCCTTGGCTATTCGTTGTCTCTTCTTGGCTATTCGTGCATTGACGACTGCCGTGTCCTTTCGATTGCAGTTAACGACGGCACTCTAGTATGTGTTCCTCTCAAGTACGTGAACATGTGGGTGAGCGATAGCAAGCTCACGGTGACCAAACTGACGCCTGAGCTGCTGTCACCGGGTCAGGTGAGCTGATGGGTCGCTGGACTAGTGGTGAAAATGGTTCATGGGTCACTGCAAGGCCGGGGAGAATGACACATGGGTCACTGCAATGGGTAAGATGGCACGTGGATCGCTGCAAGTCCCGAAACGGTGAAAACTCATTGGTTATTGCTATGGTAGAAAACAGCACGAGTCACTGCAAAATGTGAAATAACACATCATAAGTTACTTCAAGGGGTGAATCAACACACATGGGGAACCAAGACAAGGGTCATTGTCAGGTCCGAAAACAACACATCAGTGCAATCGAAGTCCTTGTAACTGCTTACGTATGGAGAATGTAAAAACAAAATCAATCGAAAACATCGAAGGTGTTCGTATGCAGATTCTAGATCCAAGGAGTAACACGAAGCCTGCTTGCAGCTGAGGGCTATTGCTCGAAACGTCTCCGCCCTGGACGGTTATAAGAAGGCCGGTGGGGGCCTGGACCTGGACAAGCTGCCCCCGTCTCTGATCTCCGTGGCCCAGCCCAGCGACATTAAGGCCTATGACTGGTGAGTACCTTCAGAAGACTGTGGTTAATCTGTGATGAAAAGATCATGGATCTTTGAATGGAAATTCAGGGGTGGAGTCGGTAATAGCAGCGTAGTTGGATCGGAGAAGAAAAATATTACCATTTAGATAGGGATTATAGGATGAAAGTTTCATTTTATTCTGTAAATTGATGAAATTACTAAACGTAAAGTGATCGTTATAACAACTGTGTGTTCGTTTCAGGACGAAGCTGAAAAGCAAAATTACCTTGGGAGGTAAATTCGATAAGGCCCAGCGCGCAATGGTTGTCAACAAGGTAAGAAAAAAATGTGTTTCATAAATGTTATTCCAAATGTGCGTCTGACAAAGATACCTAATATATATGACATTGTAAAATTCGGTCCAGTTTTGGCCTCCACCCTGACCCTACCGCTGCGAATCGTCACCTTTGACCTGTCTCTATCCTCTGACATTTGACCTTTCTTCTCTGAACTGACCTCTCTGACCCATCTGACCCATGACATCTCTCTTCCGGCATTTCCTCTGCGAACTTGACCTCTTAGACCTATCTTATCTTTCTGAACTTTCATACCTGCGCTCTGCAACATTAGATCTCTAGCCTATGACTTCATGATTTTTTAATTAATGGCCTCGCTTACCTCTGAACTGTGACATCTGAACTCTCTGACATCTGACCTATGACTTACCGGCTGTTTCTAACCACCGACATCTGACATCTTGTTCAGGGAACTGCTGATCAGATTGTGGATGCTGATCTCGGTCCGGAGTACACAGAACTGATCCCCGTGGCTGACATGAAGGGACTCACACCCGCCAAGAAAAAGATGGGTAAGTAAGTGGCATTGCTCTGCAAAGTGTTAAGACGACCGTTTGTATGACTTTACTTCATGGACCTACGTCGCTTGGCTGTCATTTTGGGTATGGGATTCACAACGTAAACCACTCTGTCTTGATGAACTTTTCCGACTATACATAATAGCCTCGTTTTTTTTTATAGATTTGGTTTTGACACCGTGAATATTATCCATTACGAACAGTTAAGCAATCACACCACTGCACTTAATGATTTTGATCAAAGCACGGATCAGCATCCTTTGATCAACACCTCATCGCCGAAGTAATTACCCTGTCTTGGATTGATAGCTTTAGCAGTGATAATTGCCCGTTCTTTACCTAACCTAATACCTAACCATACACATTAGTGATGTCAATACCTACTACGGAGTTTTGGACACCGATACCACATCAATACCAACCGGAACAATAGGAAAATGCCGACACTAAACCACATTGTAAAACTGATATAAATACCAGCTCGTTACCAAATTCGGAGTACCTTATACAAATACACTAGTGATGCTTCCTAATATCAACAAAGTACCAAATGCATAAGTTTGAAATACCAAATACCAAGATGGTTTCGGGTTGGTATCGGTATACCAAAAATTGGTATCCGATTGACACCACTAATCAGCATCATATATGTCATGATGGCTGTTTTATGACGTCAGCTGCGATGGCGGCTGGCCCGGACTCGGCTCTGCGCATGCTTAGTGCCGACGACCCAACGGAGACGCTCCCAAAGTCCATCACTCCGGAAGTGGACGACCGCTACCAGCCTTGTCTGCCCTTTTCGATGCTGAAGAGGTGGCCAACAGGTTAGCAGGTGACATGGCAGGACTGTTACAACGTCGTGAAAATAC